GCCCGGGTGGGCCAATGTGGCTGTGGACTCTCAGTCTTAAAAAATCATAAAGATTGATATATCGCATTGCAGGTTTCTGTTCTTGTCGAAAATTGGCCACTTCCCCGGGGGCACCGGAACATGTCCGGAATGATAAATGTGACCGTGGATCATTGGTAGAGCCGCCAATCACATAATTTGAGTAAGACAACATTATGTTTACCGTATTTACAACTATAACAGATCAGTCAATCCGAATGCCCAACCAGTGTGACCCCAACGGTTGCTGTGAAGAAAATTATTTTAGAGGTAATTGAATTTTTAAATCTATCCAAATCTAGATGTTAGGAACGCAAAAGTTAATCGAATTCTGTTTCTAAATATTCCAAGTCCGATCATTCATAGAATCTTGAATATTTGTTCAAGTTTGTTTTTTTGCTCTTCCATAGTACAGGATTTTAAAAATAAATGCTGAGATTAAAAAAAATATATAGCAAAGTCCCAGTGTTGGGCATTTTGAATATTGTGATTAGAACCTTGGAGATTTTTCCTGTCATAGATTCTCAGAAAATCTCGCCATTTTCAGGTTATTGAATGCACCTTCATAGAGAATTTTTCCAAGTTTGATATCTCACATAGGGGAATTTACGTATTCTCGTCAATCTAAGCAGCGTCTGCACTTCTACTAGCATTTTCTCAGCGTCACGCACATATATGATGTGTCTGTTTGTTTACATTCATCTGCTGCTTGCTTCTCTATCCATTCCAATCGACAGAATTTTTCAAAACGTTTTGAAAGCGTTTTTACAACGCTCCAAACTTCTCAGGTGAGTGTGACTATTGTCGGCAGCCTCTTTTTCTTCGGCAACCTTCCCATTAGAACTGCGTGTTAACCAGCGGTTCTATTATCGGCAACTCGAAATCAACCCCATTTTGTAGTGCGTATGCTTTATTTGAAGAAAAATGTAGCATTACTGGATTGCTCGATCGTTCAAATATAATCAGATTGAAGCTGAAAAGGTAAGGAATCGGCTTAATACATTCAGCGAAGAGTTTTGATGGGAAAATACAGTGAAATTAACGTTTCAATTTCGGTTGCCGAAAACAGTCAATGGGTGCCGAAGCCATAATTTACCCTACCTCACCGTTACACTTTTGAGGACAATTTTCTAATGCCAAGATCTTGAAATTTGTTCTCATTCGCAGTTTCAAAATCTTGAGATTTATTGATCCTGGAGGTTTGTGAATTCTGGATCTTGAATTTCTGTGCACGTTTGAATTATCTAAATCATTTGTTTGAAGCTTATCCCAGGATATCTCTGCAAATTTCTCAAGGATTAGCTTAGAATAATTCCAAAATGGCTTCAGAATTACTTTTACTTCCAGGATTGCACTTAATAATCTTTGATAATACTGTCCGGTATGAAAGTTTCAAAATTCTGGACAGAACATTTTAGAAATGAGCAATTCCATGCAACAGTGATTTTTTTTAATCGACCTCCGATTTGTATGAAACTTTGCGTAATTGTTTATTATGAGCAATGATTCACATTTTTGCTAAAATGCGGCTATTTTGTATCTAGTAAACTTTAAGAAATGGCTTGCTAGAAGTTTAAAAAAATGTAGCACGGGAAATGCATTTTTGATCGAAATGACGTCTGCGACGAAGTTGTAGATACAAATAACGTCTTTCTGGGAAAAAATAAACATGTGTACAGAGTGAAAGGTAATTCCTGTCAGTAAAGTATATGATCATAAAATTGAGAAGATGACGTGTAATGTAATTTTCAGTGTATTTCCTGTTTCGTTTATCTACATCTGTCTTAACTTAGTCCAATTCAAATCTTTCTCCCTTTCCTTTAATCACGAGCCGCATCCGTTTTTGAAAGTCGTTACAGCTGGCACGCACGATATCTTGAGGCATTTCGTCTCACATTTTCACCAAACGTTGCTTAAAAGTTTCCACGGTTTGTCCCTTGGTATTCCCTAGTTCACCTAATATGTAGCCCCATGCAAAGAAGTCGAGAGGATTCAAATCGGGTGAGGAGGCAGGCCACTCTTTCGACGAAATGAAATCCGGGAAATTGGCCTCACACCAAGCCTGTGCAACTTTTGCCTGATGGGACGGTGCAGAGTCTTGTTGGAAGCAGTATGGTGCATTCTTATAATGTTTTTGGACGAAGGGAAGCAAGTGGTTCTTCAAAACATTATCGATTAAATACTCCTGATCGTTGGCTGCGACATTCCGAGTTCTTTGGCCATCTTACGCCCAGACTTACAAGGATTCCGCCGAATTCGCTCTCTCACTCGTTTGATAACTTCCGGAGTCCTGACACCGCGTTTTCGGCCTGGTCTGCGAGGGATTTTCCACGAACCGGTTTCCTTGTACCGTGTAATGGTGCGAAAGATGAATCTTTCGTTTATTCCGAGGGGTTTCAGCGTCTTCAAAATAGAACACGGACTATGATGCTTCAAACAGGATTATCACGAGTTCCCTTTTCGCGTCCATGATTATCACGAGTATCAAACGAATGAAAATTCAAAACGAACTTGCATGCCGTGTTGACATTTGAACACACTCTAAAAGAAAAAATATGCAGACATGTATGTGATTAACCCATTTGATACTACAATTGCTTAGAAAACACTGACAGGAATTACCTTTAACTACAATGTTTTTATTATTTTAAGCAAAAATTCATCTCAAAATGTCCTTGTCCCGTCTATTTGGTAGTAGTAAATTTTATCGGGAATTCACTCGCTAGGCGGCGCTAACAGGCGATATGGAGTTCTATCTAGAAGATAGTGCTGAGCTCTATCGTTGTCTTCGCCAAACTTCCTCAGGTAGTTTAGTCTTTTCGACGGTTACCAATCTAGTTTAGAATGTACCCGCTAGGTGGCGTTAGTGGGATTTTCCTTCCTATACTGAGCTCAATCTTCAGATCCCGATCAGATAGAAGCTTGCTGTCTTCGCCAAACTTCCTTATGTAGGTAAGATGTTTTCGACGGTGACCAATCTAGTTCCCTATCATGAGCTCAAGCTCGAGATCCGAATCTGATAGGAAGTTGCTGTATTCGACACATTTGCTCAAAACGATACGATCTCTTCGATGGTAGTCAATCCGGTTCGAAGTCGAAGATTGGATATTTGTAAATAATTCAAATTACATGTCAGCACGAGATTTCAATCTCCCATTCAAAATTCAATCCCCAGCGTAGGCTGGTGGTTCCCACGAGCTGCATTCATATGCCCACTACTAGTTCAGCATCTCAACGATCGACGACGACGACGACGACGGGCACGACAACGCTAAATCATCTCATCCCTCTAATTGGGGGAATCGTCAATCTCTGCGGGTTCCCATCGTCGTTCGAATTTCGTCCATCCCCGAAATATACATATGGGCGTGCACGCACCCGCAGCATTCAATCTCAAGCGAACGAGCCCCTCGAGCTAATTGCGTATGCTTCCAGGTCACGTCGCCGCTCGGTGGAGATTTTGAGGGACAGCTTGCCCAACTGCCGTTCTCCCATGAGGTTCCGAAGAGGTGAACTTTTACGGCTTTCAGCGTCAGAAGAAAAAAAAAACAGGAAGACAGATTTCACAAAAGACCACAAACTAGAACAACAACTTCAACTTCATAAAAGATCTCCCGAGTTGAGAAATGACATCTCCTAAACAAAATTAGACTTATGACTGTCAACTTTGAGCCGCTCGTGTGCGTGTGTCTGTTGTGATTGTGCCAGTAACCCACAGAAGAGACATGTGTCACGCCAAAAGCATCCGCTGCCTCTTGTAGATGTTCCAATCTCCAAGGCAAGAAAACAGGCTGGGGGAGAAACTTTACATGTCACAGTTGCACACACGAAAAGGCCTTTCTTAAAGTGGGCTTCTCGGATTGCCAACAATTGTAATTACACATCCATCATCTGGGGGCTGGGTGTGCGGGTACAATATAACTTTTATGATTATTTAAATCTTTCCGTCATTTCCTTCTTTCGAAATGATGACAATAACGATGCTCTCGGGTCGGGTGATCTCCGAGAAGCGCACCCAACCCATCAAAAGGGCGAGCTTTTCCTAGACTGAGATTTAATGCGAGTTGTACGCGATGCTTAATGTGAGATGGAATGAAATTGATTAGAGTGTCTTGGAAACAGCTGGTGCTGCATGGTAACATTACTTATTACAGCCATAAATCGTTGGGGCGAATTTCGAGCCAGAGCAGGAAAGGTGGAGCAGTTCATTAACTAGCTGTTTTATGGCGACAAAATCGACGTGAAATACATGCGACGTGTACCAGAAAGCGGAATGTTTCAAAGTGGCCTCAGGGAGCGGCGATTAACGAGCTCTGTAAGTGGTTCAGCAGTTTCTTCCTTGGAAATTTCTGGTCCTGGAAGCTCCTAAGTATACCCTAGATATTTGCCAAATTTGCCCTAAGAGAAGTTTTCTAAACTCGAAATCGGAACAAATAACCTGAACTTATCAATATCTTAGAAATTCGTATCGTAGAAGAAAAAAAAAACGTTTAAACCAAAAAGTTTAAAATTTGACCAAAAGTTCATGTTGTGCAATGTTTGTCAATTTTCAAGTGTCCATAATTTTGAACATTGAGCGTTTAAAATTAAATAAAAAATCTGACATTTTGAGATATTTAGGTTTATAACATTTTTTTGAATTTTTATTTGACATTACGAAACACATTTGTTTGTATATTTTTCCCATAATTTTCCTCTACACCTATGCCTCAGACGTAATTTCGATCATAAGTGCCGTTTTCGAGCTACAATTTTTTAAATTATTTCGAAGACGCCATTTTGAAAATTTTACAAAATCCAAAATGGCCTAATTTGAGCAAATCCGATAAACCTTGCCCATAACAAAAAAAAAAAATGCAAAGTTTTATACAAATCGCAGAAGGTCAAGTTTTTTCAGATTCGTCATATGGCGTGAAACTGCACAATGAACGCTTTAGAATTGACAAAAATCGTAAAACATCAATTTATTAATAAAATTTAACTACACTGAAGTCTTTTTTACACGGTTTTTTACGCTGTTTTTTTTTTACACGGGTATTTGTACACGGGTTTTCGAGATTTACACGGTACGTTTTTAACGATTTCTCGACAACGATACAACCTATTGACTTGATTCCAATCACATTATCCGTTTCAAGCTATAGGTAATCAAATGACATACTTAAAAAAAAAAATCACAATTTTTGGTGTGAATACAGAAATTTTTAAAATATGTCTATATGGACCATAGCATGCTATACCTAATTACAAATGGCATCAGAAAAGTTTTTTTTTTCGAAAAGATTTCAAATAAACATTAGTTTTATTTTTTTAATATTCTGTTCTTTGTTATTGAAGTTTTTAACAGTTGTTTTTTTTTAATTAAAATTTGTGATATTTTTCTGGACCAGCGTTGCCAGATATGCCCAAGTAACAATTTTGGTTTTATGAGGGTTCTGTAGACCATGATTAATACTTGTAGAATGTTATAAAACCTCGATAAAACCTGCAATGTTACTTGGGTACCGATTTATTGGTATTTATACCGATTTTAGAACATGATACTGATGTACAGATATGGTTTCTCAGAATACATATTTTTAGATTGTATGCCGATTAATACCGATTTTTTTTAAATAATCAAGATGATTGCCTGTCCGCGCTGAACTGTCGGAGGAAATCATTGTGAGAGACTTTGATATTTTTAAATATTTCAAATTTTTACAGCCTGCTCAAAAAATTATTCATCAAAAACGTCTTATGCTTGGCACTCTTTCGACTAATGTTTCCATTTCCTCGCCATTTTTGGCTACCCAGGAATCGAGATACAACCGATGAGTTATTCCGGTATTTCATGGGAATCGGAAAATATTTTTATTCAGTGAATAAATAGGTCCATCAAAAAGCGTTAATTTTTAAACATCCCGAAGTTTGTTCAATCTTCCTTTGGAATTTTGTTGCACCTTCCTCCGTAAGTTATTTTCCGCTTTCTAAGGGAAAGCTTTTTCGACTTTTCTTGGAAGTTTTTTTTCTGGATTTGCTTGAAAGGTTCTTCCGCCGTCTCGCGCCAGTTTTTTTTCACCTTCCTCGGAACTTCAGGGATGCTAAACTGACATAATCCCAAGCCATCAAAACTTCCTCAAAGTACCAAAATGCGTGTCAATTCATGGTTGGCATGGGAATGGTTATCAACAATGCAATGATCAATCGATATGATTCAGCTACCATTCGAAAGGTATGGCTATCTACTTTCATATGAATCACCCATTTGGAACGGAAAACCCCTTAAAAGTCCCGAGCAAAATACACATCTAATTATCTTGAAGGGTATTTACTGGTCCGTCGGAAGCAAAATCGATATGGTGATGGCATATTTCCTCTTTGCTCAAGATTGTATGCTATTTAGAAAAAAAATCATGTGTCTCCGAGTCAACTTTTAGGAACCAACCGGGAGCAGAATCGATATGGTGATGGCATATTTCCACTATGCTCATAATTGCATGCAATTTCGAAAAAAAATCTCGAATCTGTAGGTCTTCTTTTAGGAATTGTCCATTTTCTCGGTGATTCCGGATATCCAGAGGACAGTTTTCTGACCACCCGATGGTAGAATCGATATGATGATGATATATTTCCTCTATACTCATGATTGTATGCGATTTAAATAAAATCGTGGATCTCTAGGTCTACTTTTAGGAATTGACCATACTGCCGGTTATTCCGGATATCCAGAGGATCGGTTTTCTGGCCACCCGGTATCAGAATCGATATGGTTATGGCATATTTCCTCTATGCTCACGATTGCATGCAATTACGAAAAAATCGTGGATCTCTAGGTCTACTTTCAGAAATTGACCATATTGCCGGTGATTCCGGATATCCAGAGGATCGTTTTCTGGCCACCCGGAAGTAGAATCGATATAGTGATTGCATATTTCCTCTATTCTCATGAATGTATGCAATTTAGAAAAAATCGTGGATCTCTAGGTCTACTTTCAGGAATTGACCATATTGCCGGTGATTCCGGATATCCAGAGGGCCGTTGTCTAACAACTCGGTAGTAGAATCGATATGGTGATGGCATATTTCCTCTATGCTCACGATTGCATGCAATTTCGAAAAAATCGTGGATCTCTAGGTCTACTTTCAGGAATTGACCATATTGCCGGTGATTCCGGATATCCAGAGGACCGTTTTCTGGCCACCCGGTAGCAGAATCGATATGGTGATGGCATATTTCCTCTATGCTCATGATGACATGCCATTTCGAAAAAAATCGCGGATCTGTAGGTCTACTTTTAGGAATTGACCATTTTGCCGGTGATTCCGGATATCCAGAGGATCGGTTTTCTGGCCACCCGGTAGCAGAATCGATATGGTGATGGCATATTTCCTCTATGCTCAAGATTGCATGCAATTTCGAAAAAATCGTGGATCTCTAGGTCTACTTTCAGGAATTGACCATATTGCCGGTAATTCCGGATATCCAGAGGACCGTTTTCTGGCCTCTCGGTCGTATAATTGCTATGATAATGACATATTTCCTCTAAGCTCACGATTGCATGCAATTTCGAAAAAATCGCGTAACTCTAGGTCTACTTTCAGGATTTGACCGTTTTGCCGGTGATTCCGGATATCCAGAGGACCGTTTTATAACCACCCGGAAGTAGAATAGATATGGTGATGGCATATTTCCTCTATGCTCATGATTGTATGCAACTTAGAAAAAAGATCGTGGATCTCTAGGTCTACTTTCAGGAATTGACTATATTGCCGGTGATTCCGGATATCCAGAGGACCGTTTTCTGGCCACCTGGTATCAGAATCGATATGGTGATGGCATACACTGATAGGCAAAATAAAGTGCCCACCCCATCATTTTTGAAATTTCTCTCATTTATTTGGTTCAAATTCAAATAAACACACCGTAGTCTGTTTCGATGTCTTACCTTTATTATTCTTTTAAAGTTACACCTATGGAATACTGAAAATATAAAGTTTTACTTGAAGTAAAAGAAAATCAATTTGGATTGAAAAAGAAAACAGTGACAAAAAAAAGTGCCCACTTCAAAAATCGGTATGTTTTCGATAAGTTTCCATCGGAAAACCCCTCGATTGTTTTTGTTTTGAAAGTTTGACATGTATTGAAGCAAACGGGTGGAACTGGTGCATTTGTACACGTGATCGCATTTGAATCAGTTGAAAAAAATGGAGGACGTAGTGATTTCGAAAGCAATTCCCGTGTGTATCCGAAAATTGGTTGTTCGTGATGTGCAAAACGGTGAATCGCACCGGTCTGTCGCTAGGAAGTACAATATCAGCAAAACAGCGGTCGGGAAAATTCTGCAGAAAATGAAATCGTTCGGATCAGTGGTGGATCGCCCTGGCAGAGGCAGGATGCGCAAAACGGATGCGAGAACGGACACCAAGATCATGCGTGAAGTGAAGAAGAACCCGAAGGTAACTGTCCGCGAGATCCAGGAGGCTCTTCAGCTAACAGTTTCCAGTCGAACTGTTCGTCGCCGTCTCGTAGCACAGGGGTTGAACAGCAAAGTTGCTCGGAAGCGCCCATTTATCAGCAAGGCAAACAAAGTCAAACGGCTTAAGTTTGCTAAGGAGCATGCTGATAAGCCCCTAGAGTTCTGGAAAACGGTTCTCTGGACGGACGAATCAAAATTCGAACTGTTCAACCGGAAGCGACGGGTTCGTGTGTGGTGTAGATCGGGTGAGGAGCTTCAGGAGCGCCACATACAAGGCACGGTGAAGCATGGAGGAGGAAATGTGATGGTCTGGGGGTGCTTTTCGTGGGGTGGAGTGGGAAGCCTGGTGAAAATCGACGGGATAATGACGGCAGATTCCTACATCGACATCCTGCGGGAAAATCTGGAAGTTTCGCTGATCCAGACGGGCCTTGAGGAGAAATTCGTATTCCAGCAGGACAACGATCCGAAGCATACTGCCAAGAAGACTAAGTCTTTCTTCCGGTCATGTCGAATTAAACCACTGGAATGGCCTCCACAAAGCCCGGACCTCAACCCCATCGAGAATTTGTGGGCGATTCTCGATGCCAGGGTTGACAAAACTGGTGTTACCAATAAAAATAACTATTTTGAAGCCCTGGAGCGCGCCTGGGAAGAACTAGATCCACAGCACCTGAAGAATCTAGTGGAGAGCATGCCGAAGCGCCTGCAGCTGGTCCTGAAGGCCAAAGGAGGACACATTAACTATTAGGCTGGTATTCTTTTACTTTATTTTATGTTTTCTGGAGTTAAAATGCAGTGGGCACTTTTTTTTGTCACTGTTCTTTTTTACACCCATTTTGATTTTTTTTTCTTCGAGTCAGTCTCTTCTTTTTATCTGGTATTCTATAAGTGAAACTTAAAAAGAATATAAAGAATAAGATATAAAAAATACTACAGTGTATTTACTTTAATTTGAACCAAATAAATGAGAGAAATTCAAAAAATGATGGGGTGGGCACTTTATTTTGCCTATCAGTGTATTTTCTTTATGCTCACGATTGCATGCAATTTTGAAAAAATCGTGGATCTCTAGGTCTACTTTCAGGAATTGACCATTTTCCCGGTGATTCCGGATATCCAGAGGACCGTTTTCTGGCCTCCCGGTAGTATAATTGCTATGGTGATGGCATATTTCCTTTATGCTCATGTTTGTATACAATTTAGAGAAAATCGCGGATCTCTAGGTCTACTTTCAGAAATTGTCCATTTCCCCGAATCTGAATCCGGGTTTTTCCGTTCCGGCTGGTGAACCATAGGTCCAATCGGGTAACTACGTGATAATGAATCAAAATGTTTGATCATCTCACTGCCGAGAATCAGCCTTGTCAACATGCATCGACACGCATTTTACAGCCTTGGGGTCATGTCAGTTAAGGTGTTTTATTGCGGTTCCATTTTTGCTTCAGGAAAACCGCAGGAACTTCTGGAGGAAGTTCTGAATCTTCAGAATAGTTCAGATTTTTGGGTAAGTTCCGATGAATTAAAGAATGTTT